AGTGTGAATTTGACAAGTGGAGTCGCACTGACGAGGCCATGGAGAGACCTCGAAGCTTTTGGAGTTTTCAACGCATTGCTCGTTTGGCTCCAGCGAAAACGTTGCGTGGGGTTTTTTAGTTTTCAATGATCCTGGCTGGGATTGGCAATTTGGCACTGGTCTCGATCGCAAAAACATCTCCGACTTTCAACATCATGTCAATTCTCCCATCGTTCTTTAGCATTGAATTCTCGACACACACTTTCCAAACGGAAAAACGAAGAAAAACCCGATGGATCTTGTTTCCATGTAAGAAAAGAAAACTAGAAGAGAGTTTCAAAGAGTTGGCAACAACTAAGAAAGTGACCTATTGCCTTTTTGCATCAGCAAGAGAGGCCAAGTTTTTTTCACATTGAACAGTCAAAAGAAGCTTCTAGCGTCCGTGTACGGCAATGTACTGGTCAAAGTCAGGTCAATGTCAATGGCGTAGTCAAAAACGTTGGTATCATGGAGCTGGTCAACGTTTCCCGGCTTTTCCTTGCACAAACTCGCATGATTCCTCAACAAGACCAACTATTCTAGTGTTATTTATGTATATATCATCCGCCACCCTCGTTCCATCTGATTTCTCAACCATTCTAATGCTATTTATTTATACGAGTCCGGCACCCTCGTTTCACCACCAATTTACAAGTTCGCCACCTTTCATTTCACTGTACAAAATAATGCGTGATCGATCGCTCCCTTGTCCAGCCAGAGCTACGCGTGGTTGGAAATATAGACCGAGTAAGCGAGCAAGCCGAGGCCGAGAATGTAAGTAGTGGCGGCCGGAAGATCCACCTTGCCGCTGCTCTCGTGATCGCCGCTAGCTTGCGAGGCCGGCGAGGACGACGAGAGCTCCCCTATCATCTGCCAAGCCTTGCTCTCGCTCTCCTCGGCAGCGTCTTTGGCCTCCTCGAGCGCCGAGTCGAGCGCCTCAACCTGTTCCTTGAGCTTGCCGAGCTGTTCTTCCGCCGCCGTCGCCACCGTCGTCGATCGAGCTCCCAGCTCCCTGGCTTTCATCTCCAGCGTCTTGCTCACCTCCACCGATCGCGCCTTGTCCTCAGCCAGCTCCGGCAGCAATCCAGACAGTGCTAGAACTTGCTCATGTCCCTTCTTGGCATTCTCGTGGAGGATGTGGATGGAGGCTTTGATGGCCTCCATCCCTCCGGACGCGGCCTCCTTTTGGATCTTGGCCTTGATCGCTGCGTCCCTCTCGGCTTTGACGAAGCTCAGCTCGTTCTCCAAGCTCCGGACCCTGGCGTCGAACAGCTCTATGTTGCTCTTGAGTAGCTTCTCCTGCTTCTCCAGCCGGCCCGAGTACTCGCTGGCGGACTTGAGAGCCTTCTCCAGCCTCACGACGTCGGCCTTGAACTTGGTCTCGTCGGCCCGGCAATTGTCGATCACCATCTTCGCCTCGGTGGCTTCTTCCCTGGCTTTGATCACCGTTGCTGTGAGTTTCTTGAGCTCTTTCTTCAGCATGTCCTTGCATGCCTGGAGGCTGTGGAGTTCCATCTGCTTGACGATCTCCTGGACCTCGAAGCTCGCATCGTTCTTGGACATCCTGGCCAAGTTCCGGTTGAGCCCGTCGATCTGCTGCACCACCGAAGCCACCGTCGACTCCGCCTCGTCCGCTCGCTTGGCCGTCTCCCGGAGCTTCTTGTTGATCTCCAGCAGCTGGTTCTCCAGGAATCCCTTGTCCTCCTGGAGGTACTGCTTCTCCGACTCGAGGATGCTCTTGGCTTTCGCCAAAGATGTCATCATCGAGTCCTTAGCGCAGATCTGGATGCGTGTGTCGTCAACCTGGCTGCTTAAGTTGGAGTTCTCGTGGACGAGCTCGTGAGTCTTGGCCAGGATGGTGCTCAAGTCGTCCTCGAGCTGCGAGGCCCGAGCAGCGAGGCTGCTCTTGTCTTTGCACAACACCCGGACTTCTTTCGAGAGGAACTCGTTCTCCTCCGTGAGGCTGGCGATCTTCTCCTTCTTCTCGATCGACGGGAGCTTTCTCGGGCTGGGAGTGACGACAGAGCCTCGCTTGTTGCTGCCAGTGCCTCCTCCTCCTCCGGACGAAGCGATGCTCGTGCGGTGCTGCCAAGTCTCGAAGTACTGCGTGTTCTTCGAGAGCCTCCTGTTGTAGGGAGTGAGCGCTGGGTGCTCATACTTTTTCGGCGACATCTCTCGCGGGCTGAGAGTCTGGAGAGCGCTGTCGTTGCTCTCGCGACCGTTGTTTATACTCGGTCCGTTGGTAGCACTCTCGCTGGTGGTGGTGGTGGCGGCCGCGGCCGCGGCCGCGGCGTTGTGATCACTACTGTCTGATGGAAGTGAAGCTCCTCCCCCTCCCCCTCCTCCTCCTCCTCCTCCCCCGGGATCTAGCATTGTTCCTTCCATCGCAGCATCACCCTGGGGCATGATCCTGTCCAAAGGAAGAAAAAATGCTTGAACTGGAGATCTACACAGCTAGAATCGCAGAGCAAAGAGAGCGATAGAGAGATTTCTTTCTAGAACAATCACTGGCCAGAGAAAGAGGAGAAAGAATGCCGGGAAAAAGAGGGAGCTGCCCCAAGAACCCTAAAATCGCACTCCAGCACTCACCAGATCGCCTAGTCGCGGCCGAAAGAGCTGAGTCCACCTCCTCCCGCGCTCCCGCGCTCCGCAAACACGTCATCCAACGGACACCATGGCGAAGGGACGCCAACTGGCCTCCCTTTAGGGCATCATGCGAGTTTATTTAGGGTTAGTGTTTGCCATATACGTACAGCATTAAATTTATGTTATGTTAAGTGCTATCATTCATTTGGCTGAAGCATGAGACTGGTGGAAACGTACCTTTTCCTCTGCTTCATTGAATCAATGACAGCACAGCCCTTTGGAAGTATGGTCTGGCTGTGCCAACATCAAGATGGAATCCAATGCTAGAACATTGTTAACCATGATGTTGCTGGAGAAAGTGAGTGGGTTGTAGCTTCTCAACCTTTGATATTTCCAGAAATAGTACAGAATTGTTAGAAACATCCCATACATATGCTTTGGAAGAAACCTCCAACCTTGAGGTCCTCAGCTCTCTTCCCATTGACATCAACAGGACATGAGTTCTAGCATGTTTGAAGCGCTGTGCACCTGGAAAATCTTGAAGATAGCATTGGCATCCTTGTGGCTGAATGAACATCTGAATAGATATTTCTTACTCACTGCAAACTGTGGAAAAAAGTTATGTAGATGTTTGTTTTGATTTTTAGATCCTTGCAAACTTAATTTTTCTCCACTAGATATATGGTTTGTTTACAATAGCATATAGATAGATAACAACTTGCATGGTACTTTTGGGGGACTGAGTGCTTGCAAGACTACTTCATCAAGAGAACAAGAAAGAGTGAACATTGCATCCATGTAGATAAGGTCCCATGCTTCATAGTTGGGCACATGTGGACTTCATAAAATCTAATGCATGTATTACCTTTATAAATTATTGCACTCCATGTGTGTTTTTTCCCTATATATTTCTAATACAAGTGTTTAATTATTTAATATCGTATTCCAATAATAAGCCATTACGTAATATAGCCCTACTTTTTTCCAGCTGTATTTTATATATTAGAGAATTATAAACTTCTATTTTAAGGCACATGCCATGAAGCCATGTCAAATTTCTATTTGAAGACGTGTCAACATAATATTAAGAAAAATGTAAAGAGAACTAACAATTAGTTGTAGTATAAAAGAAGGATGTTTTGATTCATAACACAATCTGAAATTGATTAAATATGGCTTACAGTTATATTTTATTCTTTGCATTTGTAAGTTTAATTCTAACTGTAGAAGCAAGACTTAAAACGAATCTTGTTCAAGTCATAATGAGTGTAAAGGGGATATTGCTTGTTTTGATGGCATTTGTAAAGATGATTTTGATATGGATACAAATTTAT